GCTGTGTGAGGTATACGAGTGTGTTCAGGCGTCCACATCCATAAAAATAATCATTATATTTTTATTTATCTGGGTTAGTTGAGTTACTCATTAAGTATTATGCTGAGATGGAAAGGACGTATAGAGGAAATATTGTGTGTGTGTTGTGTGTCTGATTTTTCTCAGCAGATGAATGCGATGCTACTGTCATCCTTAAAAATCCTCTGCTGATGAATGATGTCCTTGATGGATGTCACAGTCATGATAATGTCTTTCTCGTGTCACCTCCTTATCCATTCCTCCAGAACAAATCCATCAGCATGTGTGTGTGTGTGTGTGTGTGGCAGGATTTATCTGTGTTTACGCAACAGCTCCCATTAAGCTTGTTACTGAGGAACAGACACATGACTGACTAATTCATATTTCATAATCTGGCAGGAGCAGTACGTAGAGACGGATGCAATCGCAGTTTAAGTGTTTTATTAGAAAGGCAGACAGACAAATCCAAAACATGGAGCCAGGAAACAGGCAGAGGTTAGGCGATTTGCGAACAACTAGTATCAGGTAACCCAAAGAGCACAAAACAAGGGAACAGAACAAAATCAAGAACCGGGAAATCAGCACATGAAACAAAAGCTCGGTAAAGACAGACGACAGAACACTGAACATTACTTCACACAGGACAAAGACACACAGGGGGTTTAATATACAAACTAATCAAAGGTAAACTGAACACAGGTGTGAGTAATAGAGACACATGAGGGAGACAACTAATGACAGGACATAAACCAAAACAATACACATTGCAAAGCAAATAAAACATAAGACAACATGGAAGTGAGCGCCGCGCGAGGGGGAAATCTTCTTCACACTTCATCTTGAAGGTGGGCGCAGTGGTGGCTCAGTGGTTAAGGCTCTGGATTACTGATCAGAAGGTCAGGGATTCAAGCCCCAGTACTGCCAAGCTGCCACTGTCCCTCACTGTCCCAAGCTGCCCTTAACCCTCTCTGCTCCAGGGGTGCTGTATCATGGCTGACCCTGCACTCTGACCCTAGATTCCTAACAAGCTGGGATATGTGAAGAAAAGAATTTTACTGTGCTGTAATGTATATGTGACAGATAAAGGTGTTAATGTGCTGTTGGCATTGACTGTTTAAACTGTTAGGTCCACTATCACTTCCTGTCTTTATTATATCAGGTACCAACATTTAACAGAAAATATTACTCAAGTGGTCCTTATTATTATTATAAGTAGGTGTGAAATGCAATGCCTCTATCAGTCTCTGTTCAGTGTGCTAAATATCCGTATCTCTATCTGTATTTGGTTTTAAACCCGAAATGGGCAAATTATGGACAAATGGACAAATATATTTTTAGCTGGTTGTGAAATTCTCATTAAACTGAATGTCCTTTTCTCACACCATTTACTTATTTTTTCATCTACAGCAAAAAGTTACTTTCTCCTCCAGGTCACGATACTAATGCATACATAATGAGACTTTGAGTCTTTTCATTTTTGTAAATAAAACGTGGATGTTGACTGGCCATGGCCGTGCTGTGCTCATCCTATTTTCATCCAGGATGATGACTGACTGGCAGATTGGAGATAGAAGGTTGTTTTTTTTTTTAAATATTACACCAACAACTTAAGTAGAAATAACAACACTGCAGAAGAATAAAGTATCCCCCAGTCATGAGATGTTAGCGAGCCATCCGGGTCATGGTACCAAGTTATTAGAACTTTAGCAAAGATGAGGCAGGAGACAGGAGAGTGTTGTTTAATCTTCAGATTTTCAGTGTTTATCTGCATGCTTGGAATATCTTCAGATCATTTGTTTCACTAACAGAAGAAAGTTTTCAGCAGCTACAGTTACCATTTGAACAGACTTGAAGTAAGAAAGGAGAGAAACAGAAAGGGTGAAATGGGGTGAAAGAAAGAAAGAAAGAAAGAAAGAAAGAAAGGAGGCCTTTTGCAACATGAGTCTGGGAGTGCTATCACCTCTGCCCATGGTGTGTTCTGTCACCATACCAAAATGAAAGAAATGAGAAATGCAGCATCTTCAGAGACAGCCTAGACATAAACCTGTCATAAATAATATGAAATGTAATACATGAATGAAAATAAAATTTTAGCAGATAATCACAGAGTCCCTAAATTCCTTAAATCTTGGCTTTCACTCATTATGGTGAAGTAACAGGATAACAAACTTGGCTACAAAAGCAAAAATGCAAGAAACAACTGGTCTTCTCTCAATCCCTGAGAGTACATCCTTTATCCTGACTCTGCTTCTCTTCTCTTATAACAGAAACAAACTTTTCTCTTAGTTCATGAATAATGACGTAACTCATCAGAGAGGTGTTAGTGTGCCATCCGGGTCACGGCACCAAGTTGTTAGAAATTTAGCAAAGATGAGTTAGTAGACAGGAGACTGATGTTTGATCTTCAGATTTTTGATGATTATTTGCATACTTGGAGTATCTTCAAATCAGCTTTTTCAACAACAGAAATATAACTTCACACAGTTTTCACCACCGTTACCATTTGAACAGACTTGCTTTAAAAAAGAAAGGGGAGCAAGGGGAACTAAATTCCCAGAGAGAACCTTATAACACTCAGGTCACATTGTGTATAATACCTTATGGATGCATTATAACATGTTATGAACATATATATATATATATA